ACCTAACCACTATTTAGCTTGATGTGGTGCTGTATAACAGGAGCACATCGAAAGAAATCTAAAGTAGGTGAGACCAAAATATAGAATCAGTTACTCAAGTCATCAACCGTTGATTTAAGCCCTATGATTTTATTGGCTGAGATCTGCAGGACAACGAACTTTATGTAACAGCTTAAAATTAGTAACAATAGTTGCAAGTGCATTTTACTTTAATCTTATTCCAATTACTGATGTCAGATTGTTCTATGCCTGTCACTATGCAAAATCACTAATTTACTTTCCACCTCATTGATTTGATCTCGTGCTCATGTGGATTAGGTCAAAGTAACTTGAACTTGCCGCTAAAAAGCTCCCTTCATAGTAATATATTAAGTCTAAGTTCATGAACGACGACTAACACGGAATATGTTTCATGTTTCATTACATGAGAAACAATGTCCTATAAGACAGATATATGGACGGCGTAATTAAAACTTGATCTATTCATTAATTGTGAATATATTTTTTCAATATTTCTACATGTGTTCGAAAGCTATTTATTGAGAAAGCTTTTTAATTTTAACCATATAATGATCACTGTTCATATCAGTACATGTTGAACATTAAGTTTTGATACCGGAATATTAGACTACCCACTACCACGTAGTAGCCTATATCCAGACAATATAGTTCTATTTTATGAAGACGTTGACGAAATGGCTTTGAGCAACTATAGACGCTCAGAATGCCTATTAATACCAAGTACTGCTTTTAGATTAGATTGCGTCAACTAATAACAAGGAGTAGAGTAGTTCATCTGACCAATAACTCCACTTCATTTAGAAACACTACCAGCCCGGGAAGATGTGTCTGACGAAATCTCAGCACGGATTTTAAAAGGTTGCTTGACTTTCCACAACCTTTTTCAACCGAGGTGTGAGCGAGATGTTAGCCAGATAATTAAAGACCGAGTATACTAGGTAGGGATTGGTCCCGTTCCACTTTATGGCTGGGAAACATGGTTAAGAATACATTATATTCATAAGTAACTAGTATTTGATGATACACGCCATTGAAGCAATGTTCGCGTACGTCTGGACTGGCAACTTGACAATAGTGAGGTTAGAAGCAGAGTATTAAGTAGAAAACAGAAATTAGGATATCGGGGTAACCAAGTAATATATACTGATGTAGCTGGAACGTGAGCTGCGTATGTCCTATAATCCCTTACCTTGACGCACGATGTTTGCTGGAGTAAGAGTAGGCCGGAAGCCAGGGAAGACTAAACCAAGTTCATTACCAGTGGACTAGACAGTGCTGACAGGTGCAAACTATCGGGTTGGGGGTTACAATAACCAATAGTTGGAGACATTAGATATGGCTCAGAAGAGTTCGCATTGGCACAGATGTATTTACTACTGATATTTCCTTTAAATCCTGATTTCTAAAAGTATCTTGTACTTTTAATTATATGAATTCATTGTTACTTCTATAATCCTATTTCTAATCTTTTATGAGACAATTTTACTTCTTTTAGTACAATAGGATCAATCTTAACAAATTCATCTTGCGACGCTGATACGGTGTCCCAACTTGAACCGATGCATACATGTGACAAGTTGTTTTCAATACTAATGACCATTTAAGGAATTACACGTTTAATCAGACTAACTAAAATAACTAACGATATCCATATGTATAAGATACAATGAAAAAACATATCTTCATGATAATGCTACTGTATTCAGCAACTGATTATTGTACAAACATCATAACCATGAACCAATACTACAAATGGGGAATCAGATAAAGGTAATAAATTACTCCTTACTAACTAGGATAAGTTAAATTAACTGCCTGACTCGGTTAACCAATTCAGTTTGTGCGAGGATACAATCAAATTGCAACCATATGAAGAAAGTAGGCTGACATGCCACACAAACTGACGGCTAAAAACGTTGAAAATCACGCTGTCCCATGCGGAATTTTATGCCTCTTCTACTACTGCTTTACCGTAAATGTAATCCATAAAAAAGGTAATCGACCATTTGATTATGGATCAAAAATTCCACTTATTTATTTCCATTTCGGAACCAGGATACCATAACCAGCCTTCAAATAAAGTGGTGCAGTTGGATGCATGGACCTGAATCCGACTACTAATTTTTGACCGTAATAATCAACAGTTCTTTTCTCCCATTGTTTAGGGTTGAAGACGAGCATAAAACCTATTCTGATCTAATGTGTCGGATCGCAAGTAATTAGGCACTTCTTTGTCAGACAACAGAATGTCAGTCAGTCAGCTACAAGGTAGAACTTCGTACGTATGTGAGTCAGTTCAAGTTGCTAAACCACATTAGCACACAGCTGAAATTTCCAGTTCAAACCTCATAGCAGTAAAGGCAGTAGAGGTATTAGCAGTAATAGGGAATATTAGGGATCAAAGATATGATTCGAGAAACATAATCCAATGAAACAAATTTCAAAAGAGAAAAACGGTTATAGGGAATTCAGAAGATTAGAATTTGAGAGAAAATAAAGCATGGATACAGAGTCGCCAATGCAAACGATTTTGAGCCATATCATTCAAGGTCTCTAACCACTGGTTACGACTGTCTCGCCGACCCCAACCAGGCAGTCTACAGATACTAACATGGCTCAGTCCAGTTGTCAACAACCTCACAGACTGATGCAATGTTTTGGCCTGACCACTCCTAGCTTTCTTTCAGCCTACCCCTACACCATAAAGCATTGCTCATCCAGGCAGTCGGTGGTTTGGCATAAGTAACATATGTCCCAATTACCTCAAATGACGAAGCTTCAATACTTAATCTATTGACTTGCCATTCCTACCTAGTATTCGTTTCTTAACGATAGCATTGCTTACTCGGTTGTCCCACGATACACGAGCAATGCTTCGAATACATAGGTGTTCTAATACTAATAACCTACGAATATTGCAACTCTAACCGGCCATGTTTCACAGTCATAAAGTAGGGCGGATCGATCTACTGCGCAGTACACAAGTCCTTTGGTTAGCAAACGAATATCGTGCCCACGCCATAAAGTAAAACAAGAATGGAGAAAGTGGACATCCTTTACGGAAACCACTTGAAGTAATGAATTGCACTATCTCGACCAGTAATGTTCAAATTGAGGACCTGTACTTCTTTGGCATACCTTCCAACGACAGACACTGGCAAAGATCCTCACAATCAACAGAGTAAGATGCCTCCTTAAGGTCCCGGCCGTAGCTGCTACCTTGACGTGGTGATCGGGCTTGCCTATGGCGATGATTCAACCGAGCTATATTAAGCTGGAACATATGTTCCTGTAGGTTTTACCATGCCAAGGAAGTCGACAGAACGGTGAAACTAAAAGTAGCAACACAAGGTCTGAGAGCAAAGTCGTACCGCAACATGGATTTATGCACGTAAGTACGAAGTTCTACGTTGTAACTGACTGACCTCCTTAAGGTCGAGAAACATTACTATAGTGGGACGTCTCAACGTGTATCCATGTTCTAGGACCTGAATATCTGGTCTATACATCCACGTCCAAGTCCAAAACCTGTCTGGTTTGCTCTAGGTTGCCCTTCACGAGCTCTAGTTAGGCGTCCAAGTATTATTGAAGCCAATATTTTAGATACTATAATAGTTAAACTGATTCCTTTGTGAGTGTCACAAGAGGACTTTTGTTCTTTCTTATAGACTGGGACTATCAATGATTGAGACCAGTCGGATGGAATTAGGCCCAGCTTCCAGATTCTACTTAAGATCTCAGTCAATCAAAGTGCTAAAACTAGACCACCACCCTTAAAAATCTAAGGCGTAAGCTTTGCATGGCCTGCTGCTCTCTCTCGCTTCACATTTCATGTAGATTTTTCAACTTCATTAAGTCGGAGGACTTACATATATTTGCCATTCAGGTTGACTGGAGATCGAGGGTAACCGAAGTGTGGCTGAAGGCCAGTTGAACTGCCCCTTAAGGTGTTCTGTCAATCAATCCAATCTCCCGGTGATAATGTGATCAACTAAGGTCTTTGTAGTATAATAGTAGTGGTAAACTTACAAAAGATATTACTGCTGTATATCAAGTCAGGACTGTGATCTAATCACGTTATTGTAACCAGTCTACTTATGCATGTAAGTTTGAAGCAAACACCTTTATGGTTAACTTTCAGTTGGACATAACACGTCGAAGCAGCTAAGCAACAGCAATCAGTTGACCGAGAACCAGTTTATTTGACATAACAATGTACAACAAACCGACATGTATGAAGTATTCTGCTAGAGGGACCAACACAAAGAATGGAATTTAGGCAATAATTGGACCACAGAGACTATTTGTTGCTTTTTGCTGGTGCCGGGATTTCCCTCAGTTCTAAAAACCCTGTGCAAGTTTTGAGTACTTCTGTTCGTCAACAAAGAAAGAATATGGTGGACTTACTGTATTTTGTTGGTTTCTCTTCAACTAAACACAAGTTAGTAAAATTAATTAATATTAATATTCTCCCAATGGAAAACTCAAACATACTAGTGTGTGTCGCTGCAGAGAAAACAATGAATTACAGAGAATCCACTGCACTCTATATATCCTATCCTTCTCGCTTTACTCGAATTAGTGAAACAGAAATATGAAATCAGTCCTTGTAAAACCTCAGTTATGGAGTGCACTCTGTGAACATTTTACAATATATATCCAATTTATAATACAATGACCTGCAACAACTGAACCTATTCAGGTATGATTCTTTTTCACTTTCCCAGAGAACAGAACCTAAAGACAAGATTTCATGGAAAACTCTTGGAAACTGAAATGGAGCGCTAAATTGGACGAAAAACTAAATTTACCGTAACACTGGTCTTGATGTAAAAACAGATGAATAATTACAATGGCTAACTCGTGCGAGAACGCCATCATGCATTATGAGAACACTGACACAACTACATGTTGGTCAGCTAGACGAAGATTAGGTTTTTAATATTAATGTTGGCAGCAAAAAGGGCATATTTACTTACGGAAGTTAGATCTGATATACTGTGTACTTCTGAACTAAGGTGTGAAGTTTGGGGACTGGTTGCATCAACTGAAGCACCTTGTTGTCTGAGCATATTAACCCAGTTTGGTCCGGATTTGTCGAAACTTTGGTACTGAAGACATCCCGGGTCACCAAAACTATCATGTGTACGATGATGATCAGCAACAACACCTTCATCAAATTCCTCATCCATATCACCCAGCGGTGTAATCATTGAGAGATTTTTAATATATAAAGAATCTGATTCAAATACGTTTATGAAATAGGATCTGTACAATATCACAATAAATTATAATGAATATGGTTGATACATGGCAAGAAATCACATGCAAGCTAGACGATAACAACTGATTATATAAGCTTATTGTTTTCCAATGGGTTTATTTTACCTGGCATTATAAGAGTTCCATGGTTTAATAAATAACTAGACACAAGCACATTAACAGAAAATGCGTAAAATAAGCAAATCTTAGACAGTTCCCAACAAAACCATTCGAACACCGCAACTATCCACCCAAGTGCAGCGCACCCAAATCAAATAACCGCTGCAGAAATTCAAACATCAAACTTGAGTCTAGGCCGTAAGAGAAATTAGAATTTTATTCCTAAGAATTTGCATCAGTTAGTAACATGCCAGTATTTATTGTTAAAAAGCACAACTTTCTGCTCTCTTATTGAGTCTTAAGATAAGAAATGCAAATTAATAATGGCAAAAGTAATTGAGAAGCAACTCTTATTTACCAGTAGCTACACAACTAAAGTTCGCTTTTAAAAGGTTCAAAAGATCTCATCATTGTCGTTTTCGGTAAGGAGTTCCATTACCTATTAATTTGAACCATTAATGTGCATGCTGCGCAGTGCCCTACAGTAATTAGTTTGGATAAAAAGGATTGTGCAAATCAGTATTATTTTTAACAATTGGGCCCTTTTTAATTTACTTTATTCATAAGATTACTTGCCGACTCGTTATCTTACTAGTGACTTGTCTTCATTAACGTATATAATTGCAGGTGCACAGTCTGTGTTATAGTACACAACTGTTCTTTTACTCTCCCCTTTCTCTTTAGGTATGTTTGCTAGCACCTCAAGCTAAGTCTTAAATATTAGCCTGGATAGTTGCAGAAGACCTGGTAACGTTACCTAGGGGCCTGTAAATCTATTATCTGGCAAATCTCAACGAAATCCTTTCACATTCACTTGATCAATTCTTTTTATATGAAGACCTAGATTTACCTTGCATCGATTCTCCACCAATAGTGGTTCATCTCAACACAACCGTTTCAAGTTGCGCCAACTATCGTATTGTACATTGCAGAGTCTGAATATCATCTATAATGTAATGTGAAACACTTTGGCCATCTGTAGGAAGCCAATGTACCTTATGAAATATTTGTGTGATTGAACAACGTTTTACAGAAAATATTTTAGCAATTTTAACAGTTTGATCTTTCCTGTAAACTGGCACTCTTCATGTACTATGTTACTTGGGAATAAATTATTACCATTATTACGATTATTATGGGAGTACAAATGGAAACGTTCTTCGACACTGTTCAGTTTTTTATGAAGAATGGTGATACAAGCAGCACCGTTTTCCGTCAAAAGTTAAAAGGAGAGTCTCTTTTCTTAACCCAGAACATACAACCTTTTAGGCATCCCTCCTCAGTTGTTGAGTGAAGTTTTTTCACAGGCACACGGTTGAACACTAGTCACTTGAAGTGGAACACTTCTATGAAGAAAATGCGATTGGTGAAAAATAAACATTATTGTACTCGTTTTGGTTCACTGTACTAAAACCACTTTTTGCGCGCAACGTTCTTTTGGCGTTGCTGACATTTTTCATAACGTGCTGTTCTCTATGTAATGCCTACCTTCTCCTTCAATAAATAGTAAAACATGAATTTATTTTGATTTAAGTGACGGGATAGTATGGAACATTTAGTGGTGATCATAATCAATCTAGACTCGGTCACCACCAAACACTTACAAAGATACTTTGGTTCCTGAAACGAACGTTTTGAATTCTAGGTATACGTAATCTACGAGTGCATCAGTTGTCCTTCCTTCGATCACAGACTAGGGCAGGGCTGAGAAACATCAATATCCGTTTGCTTTCGGCTGATATTGTCCTTCGTGAAGCAATGTCTTAAATGTTCAGACCAGATATCAGGATCACTACGATCATCTTCTAGTGGTTGGGATTTTATAATCTCGCCAGTTCCTTAGGTGACTGTTGGGGACGTTTGGTCCCCAGAACTCACTTGATAAGTGTCTTAATTTTGGATTTTTGTTTTTTAGCGCATAAGCTGCCCAGATGACTTTGAGATTATATTTCCCACTCCGAAAATCCTTGACTGTCATCGGTTTATGTTTTATTTCAGTACACTATTTTTGTGGCTCTTTCAAGGACGTTTCTATCATATGGAAATAAGCTCGATTTGTATGCTTCTCGACCTCACATTTTCTGGGTGCTTGTAGAATACATTTTCTACGCTGTATCAAGACCCACCTCGATTCTGTTAACGACATTCTATCACTTGCTTTAACCATGAGCTAAAGTTTAGAATATTATTCCATACTTGAACTTCAGACATAAGCCTCGAAGCAGAGCTTCGTCGCACAGCCGCACACTGAACTTCAAGATCTTTCAGATCAGCATAAATGATCATAAACGTGAAAATTGGCCTATAGGAACTTCTTCCTACGTTTTTCAGGAGGCTAAATGATTGGTACTGGTATTATAGCGTCAATAATTTCCACGTCCATTTAAACTTATAATTCGTTCAACTACTGACCCTCAGTTACCCACTACTGGTACAGCTAATACTCGACTGAAGTAAAAAGATGGTGGTTGTGTGAATATTCCTTCCCTAGTTGGTAAGTATGCCACCTCTGTGCTTGGGTTCAATAGCCATGGACATCTGCATTTGTTTATGAACTCATTCATCTAATAGTCAGTGATCTGATATTAGAATGTTTAAAGGCCCGAGAAGCTAAGAATTTTCGACCAGTACACTTGGAAGTAAAAAAGAGGCTGTCTTCTTGAATCGCAGACCACACCTACGTTTCTTTGGAGTCTATTTAAAGTGAAGCTGCACGACTGAATTAAATTTATTGTCTCTTTTCACACCAGTTTACTAGGTTCATCCTTTACAGACTGTCTCAGAGCGCACTAGTCATATCAGAATAAGTATCAAATTCGCAATAAGTAACGTGCATATACTATCATTTTTGAATTCCAAATGCACAAAATAGGGATCCTTTAACTTCGAAAGTTTGGATTTTACCTGAATGATATGCATTAATATCCCTATTTATCACATGATTATCCAGTATTAAAAGACACAGTTAGAAGTCACCATACAGACCAAGTTATCATCAGACATTGCCAGCAGCGAACTTTATGGGTTTTAACCTCTAATAATAGACCTACTGATTTTTGAGATTTCGTCGGATACCGCTGTACAGACTGGCATAACTGGTGCTTCGAGATAATTGACTCAATATCTATAGACTCACTGAAATAGTTTTTGGTTAAAATGAATCAGCTACAATGCACTGGTAAAGTAAATGTGATATTAAAGAATATTGGTACTGTGTAACAAAACTGCAAAATTTCATTATTTTCCTTCTCGTGCCCCTAAGCACCTACCCCTAGCATTCAGATTCAGAGTTCCTTTCATCTTCACGTTTACACCATTTTTTCCACGAAGTTTCCCACCCCTCTTCGCTTTCTACTTCAAATGGGCAGATAACTAACTAGGCTAGTAAATATTACCCGACTAAGTTTGAATATAAGCCCAGACTATACTTCTAGTTTGTGAACCATCAGTCCAGTTGATTTCAAAACTTTCAATTTAATAATTACTGCGTAACTCGTAGATTTTCAGCCTAAATCTCTTCTTTCATATTCCTTGATCAGCTATCTATCCCTATTATCTCCAAATAAAAGGGTTATTTTACCATGTGAATATCACTTGAGGAACTAAAATCAAAATCAGAAAGCCAGTTTCAAAAGTAATTCTCCTGGTAATATTAAATTAATGAGCATAATTTATACGTTACTGATGGGTAGCTCCGCGAAAAAATCATTTATCTAAGAAGGAAAAGTAGTGACAGATGGTGATTAATAGACAATGCTAGAGCAGGAAGATTAGAATCAACACAGAGATATTGACCACACTGCTATTAAAATACGAACAAGGTACAAATCACTAAAGTAGGTGTTTCTACGCAAGCCGGTTGTCACTTGTCAATGTGAAAGGTACATACCGAAAGATCAGTCTTTTCATTTGTACGTACGCACACAATGAATACATAAGCAGTTAATTCCTACTTGTTATCTTTCGTAATGGATCCGTTCACTAAATCCGTAGGCACGATGACCTAATTGAGAAAATATTCGCTGAAAGTGCAAGTAAACTCATAACAGGAGTATTGAGCCATGGTGTTATTAGTTACAAGTGTTTTCAACACTTTTCAGTTAGTTCGCCTATACTTTTGCGCACTAGAACAACCTAGATCGAAGCTTCAACGTGTGACATGTTGACAAACCCAAAAAGAAAAATGAAAGTTTTAGGGGCTGCAAGATATACATATTTTTTAAAGTTATTTGTTTCCTGCTTCTCATGATGTTTTTACTGGTCCTATTTTGATTATCAACTGTTCAAATACGCGATAGCACTATAATTTAGATTAAATTTATTAGAACAAGTATGAAAATTATGAGGCGAATAGTCTGTGACACTGAGGTCGCTTTCATTTGCAAGCTAATCTGTAGACTCATATTTCCAGGTTATCGGTAAGATTACTATTTTTCCAAGATAAGCCCCTAGCATGATTATTCAGGCACAAACAGTTTGACTTTCGAGTTTGTATTTGATAGAAAGAGAGATAGACGGTAAATAATATGATTATCACTGCATTCCACAGACTTTATTGTTCTTACTGGACCGTCGGCCTTGATATACCGACATCATACTTGTTACTTCAACTTATCTTCTATTTTTCAGACTCTATTAGCCTTGATACATTTCACAACTCATCCTTCTTTATTGTTGTATCCCCTAATTAGAAGACTATTTACAGTTTATTTTAGTTTTAGCAGCTGTAATGGGCTTTATCTGCTGGCTTAACATTATTTTATCTGCTCCATTATGAATGGTCAAACGATGATCTGTCCATATATTCAATTGCCTAGTTTCTTATCTCAATGTTCTCTTTTGTTTCCTTTCAGAACCTTACCAATAGTGAACAACCAAGGTGCTTAATCAAAGTAGAATACACCTCACTTATGTGCTCGTCAAGGTCACTTCTCTTAATATGCACCTTCTAGTCGACAAACTCAATCGAATTCGAACTTAACGATCTGTTCCACTACACAAATAATGTGCAAGCTGATTTCTCTAAACAGTGTCTCATAAATCATTCCTCAATTTTCAATAACATCCAAGAACTCGTCTGGCCACCTACCCTTTTTATAACCACGCGTTAAAAATGTGGCTGCATTAAAATTTTTTATGCTGGCAAGATGGAGAGAGCTGGCAGTGTCAGAAACT